TTTAATGACCCAGAAAATTTATTTTAATTATAAGACAACATGAAGCAAAAATTCCACATCTTTGAGTTTTATGTATATTATGGTAGCATATATACATATATAATCTATATATATATATATATATATATATATATGTGGTTTTTTTTGCCAAGACTTGAGAACAATGGATACTAATAAGTTCCACACAACATGTCATCTCAGTTTCTCATGTGTCATTTGACCTTATACTACAATAAATTGTTACTACTTAATAAATACCATGATTCAATAAATATTTTTTTCTAGTCTTCAAAGGGAGACTTTTACATAGCTTTGTTACATAACTTTGTTCAGCATTGGACTGCCTTTTCTGTTACTCAAGTAGAAGTGAGGGCTGGAGAAACTTCTAGCTTCATGGCTCTAGGGCTCCCTCTTCTGTGCATGTTCAGAAGTGTCAAAAATATGTGTTTCCTTCCCATTTTTATCTGTACCATCCCTTTTCTTAGCCCCTTTGTCCTTGTCTTGCTCAATTTAGATTCAGTGTAAAATCTTCTCTTTGGTAGGGTTTTGCCCTGAAAGAGAGCTTTGGTTGGCTACTTTCAAAGTTCCTGTGGCCCATATTGCCCCAGCAACACCTGACTGCTGTGTTCCTTGCTCTTACCCATGAGCTCTCACAGATATCTCAGATCCACCTACTGAAGGGTGATGAATGCCTGCTGACAGTTCAATTTCTGGGCTTCTCAAAGTTCTTTTGCTTTAACTTTGCTTCTTGTTGGGCACACTGATACCACATGTCTTGTTTTATTTTGGAGTTTGTGGTGTTAACATGCCGTTTAGTTGTAGCTTTGTTTGGATTTTTTTTTCTTTGCTATTTTACTTTAAATTTTTCAGGGGAGGTGGGGCTTGGGAATTTATCCAACCGGTCAGCTCACTGTAGCTACAGTTTTAATAAAAAACAAACATTTATGGAACTTCTTAGGCCATTATTTCTTTTGTAAGTTGGTAAATTATATTTTTAAGAAATATATCAATTTTGCCCTGGCTCAGTGGATAGACCGTTGGCCTGTGGACCAATGGGTCCCAGGTTTGATTCCGGTCAAGGGCACCTGCCTGCGTTGCGGGCTCAGTCCAATGTGCAGGAGGAAGGCAAGCAATGATTCCCTCTCATCATTGATGTTTCTATCTCTTTCTTCCTCGCCCTTCCTCTTTAAAATCAATAAAAATATATTAAAAAAAGAAAGAAATATATCCATTTTATTAAGTATTCAACTATATTGGCATAAAATTAGTATTTTTTCTTGTTTCTATAGTTATGTCTTCTTTTGCATTCAAATACTATTTGTGTCTTCTTTCCTCTTTTTTCATGAGATTTTACCAGAAGTTGTCTAGTATATTACTCTTTCCAAAGAACTGAATTTTGACTTTGTTGATTATCCCCATTGTGTCTTTATTTTTTAAAAATTGCTTTTATTATTTCCTTCTTTTTATTATTTCTTTTCTTCTTTTTTATTTAAATTTATTCTATTTTTATTTTATTAAGTTCTAAGTGAAGAACTTAATTTATTAATTTTAAGAATATCTTATGAATATCTTAAAATGAAATGGCTAAAATTTTTCCTTGCAGGTCTGCTGTCACTGCATCTTTAAATATGTGGCATGTTAGTATTTCACTATCACTTACCTTTATGGATTTGTATTTATCTATTTATTTTTTTGTTTGTTTGTTTTTGTTAATCCTGACCTGAGGATATTTTTCCATTGATTTTTTAGAGAGAGGGGGAAAGACAGTGAGAAAAAAACGTCTATGTGAGAGAGACACATCAATTGGTTGCCTCCCGCAAGTGCCCAACTGGGGTTGGGGATGGAGCTGGCAACCGAGGTAAACGCCTCTGATGGGATTGAACTGCTACTCTTCAGTCCACAGGCTGATGCTCTATCCACTGAACCAAACCAGTCAGGCTACTTCCATGGATTTTAAAGTTTACATTTATGATAGTTTGATTACTTAGTTCTTTAAAAGTGTTTATAATCTTTAAAGTATATGAAGATTTTAAAAATTTAGCTTTTTGTTATTAACTTTCATTTCACTTGTCATTAAATGTAATCTGCACCAGTGTTTGTGTATACTAGGTGTACCAGGTAATGCGGATTTTTTTCAATAGATGGAGTTACACATATGTATGCGATTTGATATGTATGCTATTTTGTTGTATTGACAACAAGCTTCAAAACTTCATATATCAAATTTGCTGAAGATATTAACATCATAGATATTTTACGCTTAAAAATGTTGAATTTCATGCCAAAAAAAGAGCATTTGTGGGAAGTTTTAATACATTATTTTGAAGAAACGTGCTGCTGAAAGTTATCATATACTTCGGGAAGCTATGGTGAACATGCTCCATATCAAGATACTTGTGAACACTGGTTTAGATGCTTTAAAGTGATGATTTAGATGTGAAAGACAAAGAACATCCAGGTCAATTTAAATCATGCTTTGATTGTAAAATGACCAGAATGGGCTAGAAGACACGGCAAAGTAATTTTGCTCCATGATAACGCATCATCACACACTTCAAAACCAGTTAAAGACACGTTAAAAGATCTTGCCTGGGGAGTATTAACCCACCCGCTGTATTCACCAGACCTTGCTCCTTCAGATTACCATTGTTCCGATCGATGGCACACACACTTTCTGGGCAGCACTTCAAAATGTATGAAGAAGTAGAAAATTGGCTCTCTGAATGGTTTGCCTCAAAACAAGAAAAGTTCTATTGGGACGGTATCCACAAATTACCTGACGGACATTACTTTGAATAAAGCACTTTTGATGTTTCTCTTGAAATTATTGTTTTCTTTGATTACAAATCCGCATTATTAACCGGCACACCTAAAATTATGCTTGTTAGTAGTTTATAACTGTATTTTTAATTTCCTTATATATCTTCGATGACATAGCAGTGATTTAGACCTATATTGAAATCACCTAGATTTGTTAGTTTCTTTCTATAATTCAAATTAGCTTTGTATATATATTTTTTAAATATATTTTTATTGATTTCAGAGATGAAGGGAGAGAGAGAGATAGAAACATCAATGATGAGAGAGAACCACTGATCAGCCACCTCCTGCGCGCCCCACACTGGGAATCAAGCCCCAACACGGGCATGTACCCTGACGGGGAATCTAACCTTGACCTCCTGGTTCATAGTCCGACACGCAACCACTGAGCCATGCTCACCGAGCTTTGCTTTGTATATCTTGGGGGCATTTTATTTTATTTTATGCTTTATGTCTAGAATAGTTTCATCTCTTCTTGGTGAATTAAATATTTTACTGTTATTTAGAGACTCCAATGAAGTTTTTAGACTTAAAGTGTTTTATCTGATGTCAGCAGAGCAACATCATGTGGTTTGATATACACTTTTCCATTCCTTAACTTTCAAGCTTTGCATATTCTATGTTTTAACTGTATGTTTTGTGAAGAGCATGTAGCCAGATTTTTTAAATACAGTTTAACAACAGAGCTTTTCAACTTTAAATCAATGTAAATTTATAATTATCATATATTTGCAATTTTTTAATCTCATATTTTAATTTGTCTTCCTGTTTGTTTTTCTACTTTCTCACCTATTTAAAAATTAATACTTATATCTCATTTAACAAAACAATAACTTTAACATTTTCTAAATGTGCCTAGTTCTCACTTATCTGTTCCCAAATACTCATGGATTTATATAAAGTAAGATTTTTCCTTGGGGCTCTATCTCAGCCTTGCGGGTAGTGGTTTTTCTTTATTTTTGGCATTCTTATATTACTTAGAATTTTCTTTGCTTTCTACTAGCTACTCCTTTGCTACCCTAATCCCCTATTATAATAACAATTCTTTATCTTGCTCTATTCAAATTACTAAGTGGTGGATCACAAATAATTTAATCCATAACAGGATGAAGTAAATTTAATGTGAGATGCAAGTGAATCTGAATGGTACAAGAGGTGGGTCTAAGTCAGGGGTGGGCAAACTTTTTGACTCGAGGGCCACAATGGGTTCTTAAACTGGACCGGAGGGCCGGAACAAAAGCATGGATGGAGTGTTTGTGTGAACTAATATAAATTCAAAGTAAACATCATTACATAAAAGGGTATGGTCTTTTTTTTTTTTTAGTTTTATTCATTTCAAGCGGGCCGTAGTTTGCCCACGGCTGGTCTAAGTGAATAATGTCAGTGTTCCACTCAGAGTCCCTTGTATTTGGTGGGTTTTCTTTTCCAACAGCAAGTGCCCACAGCTCTTTTTCAGAGGACTGCTGTTAGATACCGGAAGCCATTGGCTGTGGAGAGCCAGAAGAGCTACACATTGTGTCTTTCCTTTCTCTTCTTCCCCATAAACATTGGATTATTAAGCTTCTGCTACCTTTTTTCAAGTCAGGAGAACTCCAAGGTGTGGTAACTTTTTCTCTCCCCCACCCCAATGTTGACATTATTATAGTTGTGCCCCCTCCCCTCTCCCATTCTTCACCAGATTGTTGTCTGTGTCCATGGGTCATGCATATATGCATATATGCATATATGTTCTTTGGCTAATCTCTTCTAGTCCCCCTCCCCCCCATAACCCTGCACTCTGAGATCTGTCAGTCTGTTCCTTGTATCCATGCCTCTAGTCCTATTTTGTGAGGTGTGGTAACTTTTATTTTTTATTTTATTTTTTTTATATATTTTTATTGATTTCAGAGAGGGAGAGAGAGATAGAAACATCAATGATGAGAGAGAATTGTTGGTTGGCTGCCTCCTGCACACCCTCTCCTGGGGATGGAGCCTGCAACCCGGGCAAGTGCCCTGACCAGGAATTGAACCATGACCTCCTGGTTCATAGGTTGGTGCTCACTTAAATGTGGTAACTTTTAAGTGATCAGACTGAAGCTATCTATAATCTACACTTGGCCTGATACCACACCCTTGTTACTTCTCCAGCTTTTTTTTTTTTTTTTTTTTTTTTTTACCAGCTTCTTCTAGGAATCATTTGCACGGGAATCCTCATCTCAGGTTCTGCTTCTGAGGAAGTTGATTTAGTCCATCTGTTCTACTACCACTGAGCCACACCAGCCGGACTGAAGTGGTGTGTTTTAAATGTTTGGATTTTAGTTATGATGTAGAAGTTGTACTTCCAAACTTTTGTTTGTTTTTATTTCTACTGAAGATCATATTCTGACACCCTGTCCTCCCTCAACCCCAACCAATCCAACAAAAGAGCCATAATTTTCACCAACATACTGAACACCAGAGACAATCAATGACTCTCGTAAGCAAAACGATTGCTTTCTGGACTTGTCTCCAGCTCTGGAAATAATTTCCAACATGGATCTGACTGGCATTACGTGAACTCATATAAGGGCCCGCTCTCTTCATGGCCTTCCACTGACCACTCACTTCCTCTGGTGGGCCAGCTGGACCTTGTTCTGCTCCTGGTACAGCCTCTAGAGCAAATGTTGAGGGAACTGAGATGGCGATACTTTACAGAGCTGGCTGGCAGATGTGCAATCAAGAGAAGGTCCAAATGGCCATGAGCAATTCCTTCTTAGAAGAAATTATTTTCATTCTCCTCTTCTATTCAGCAGAAACCTTTCCAGCAGGTAGGAATCTTTGATTTTTTTTTTCCTTTTTAAGGTAATGGTTGGGCAACTCTAAATGCCCCAAAGTCATTGAGCAGTAATAAGTGGTAGTTAATAGTTTCAAGACTCATGGGGGTTTAAAAATGGCAGCAATCTCAAACCAGCTGTCAGCTCTGTGCTATATTGGTAGTACTGGGCCCACACACTTAGTGGCCCAAACTTTTATGGGAAATAGATACCAAAAAAATACAAGAAACTTTTATTGCACATATTTGCTCTCCTCATGCCATGAATATTTAAACAAACTCAAATATTAATTGGAGCAACAAGAACAATCTCATGCAGTTTTGCACTGAGGACAGTGTGTGTGCTTCATTTGATTTTCTGTTCAGAATGAATGCAGACTCCTTTGATCTGGTGTTCCACCCATTAGTAATCATAGTAGAAATAAAAGGTTAATCAGCTTCTACTGAGAATGGAAATTATATGTGAGAAAAAGACTGTATAGTTAATAGTAATCCAAAGACCAAGTCACGTTCTTTAATTTACTCTTTCCCCCCCTCAATATCACTTGCATTTTTCATATATACTTTATACTTAGTTGAGCACTTCCTCTCTGGGTATTTTTATTTTTTAAGATGACGTTTTTGGTATTTTGGTATATATCCACTATCTTGCACTGTACCCAGTATCTAAACACATTGTAGAGTTTTAATAAATGTTAAATATATAAATAAGGAAATGTTTAGCTATGCCATGTTCTATAATATTTAGACTTTAAAAAACAAGTATTCCTGGTTCTTTTGTTTAATGATGGCATGTAATTGGCACCAATTTTTAGAAGTGCATAATGAAATAGTTAAGGGTGAAATGTCATGGTGAATATATTTTTTAATTTTTAGCAAAAACGACATAAATATGCCAAAGTGTAAATTATTGTTAAATCTAAGTTATGGGTATACGGATATTTCTTATATGCCTCTCTACTTTTCTGCATGTTTGTAATCAAAATTAAAAGACAGAAGGAAGGGGAGAAGAAAGGAAAAACATTAGCATTGTGTAATAGAAAAAGCAAAGAAATAAATATAGACCCATGAAACCAAGATAGGGGTCATAACTTCTAATATATAAGAAATTATTGGAAAGCCATGTAATTCCTCTAAATTTAGTTTTCTCATTTTAAAAATGAGAATAATCTACAATAAAATATTACTATATATCCACCTGATGGTTAAAATTTAAAAGGACAATATGAACAGTGGCAAGAATTTGGAGGATATGAAACATATGTTGTTGCTGGTAGGAGTATAAATTGAATAACCACTTAAAAAATGTTTTGCATCTTCTATGCATATGTGTAACGTATGGCTAAGTAATGTTACTCCCAGTTACAATAAAGACAAATGAGTACATATGTCAACAAATATATATGTACAAAATTTTCAAAGTTTTATTAAAAATAACACAAAACTGCAAACAACATCAACAGGAGAAAGGATAAATATTCCATTGGTATATTTATACAATGGAATCTGTGCCACATTGCAAAATTGCCAACTCGGGTACATGTTATAACATGAATGAAGTTTATAGATGTTATACTGACCCATAGTAGTCACACACAAAGACATATTTATTTTATGATTCTAGCTGTATCAAGTACAATAACGGGCAGAACTGACATATGATAATAGATGAAGAATAGTGGAAAGCTTATGGGATTCTGGAAATGTTTTATATCTTTATCTTATGTTGGTGTGATTTACTCAGGCCCATACATATGTAAAAAATTATGCTGTACTCTTAAGACAAGAGTTCTTTATGCACTTTCCTGTATCTCTGCTATCCTTCAATTAAATAGAGTAAAATTAAATATTATGATCTAAATCCCAGGAACGAGGAGCAAATAAGATAATATAAACTTGTTTACTAAATTATACAACACTATACAAATTTCATATATTATCATTTTCTAAGCTAAACTCTAATGTTTTTACTAAGAGCAAGGTCTAATTTTAAGTTCTGACCATTAATATTTGCATTAAGTTTGACCCACATTTTCCTTAAATCCAATCCATTTTGGACTAAGCCTTGCCACAACCTAGTTCTTAAGTCAGCATTTTCACTATTTTATTGGTAGTGGAAAAATATATTTCTATTGATTTGCCATTGACAAACATGCATGCAAAGTTAGTTCCATGCCTAATATGTGCCAAACACTTTGCTGGGCACGGGTGATATAAACTTAAATAAGATATGATCTCTTCTCTTTACATCTTCACATTTTAGTCAAAAACTCAATTGTAATACAATTACTTGAGTACCAAAGATCCTATATTTTTTTAAAATGAAAGAAGTCAAAATGATTATTATACATCAAAAGCAAAACACATTTACCAAATATAATTCTCATTTGCATATGAACCGAAGAACTAAATGCATTTATCTTTTTTTTGTTTCTACTAAGTTTCTAAAAGTTAAATGTACTTTAGGTTGAATATGTTTTTTAAATAGGTTAAAATTATAAACTTCCAATTATTTAAAAATATATTAAACATTATAATCATGTAAAGGTACTTTTGAAACTGCAAATTACTATGCAGATGATTTTTTACAATATTAACACCTCCTTAGAAATGTATAAGTTGTGTCTTATTTTATAAATAATTATTTAAAATTTCTGTCTCTGTGCTGTATTTTCTCCTATATAATCTTCCATTTCCTCAGTAGTAATCACTCAGAGAATAAAATATACTTTTATGCTTTTAATATTCTCAGACATATTAGCTTGTTTCTTAAGGTTTGAAGCTTGACTTTTAAATAGGGGATTTTAGTGTTCAGACCTTCAGATGTTACTCATTGAAAATACTTGAATATTTTTAATGAGTACCATCTTGAATATAAGTACTCAGCTCCCAACATTCCCATCTTTCCAAGCACTAAGTACTAATTGGTTTTTCAAGAAGTGTGCAAATGATGCACAATACGCTGAACAGCATGTGATCATTTAAGCGAAACATTTGAAAACAGTGAAATCATCAGGCAGAGAGTCCCCATTCTGAAAGGTAACATATCTTTCTAAAAACCCAGTTATTCTGCACTCATCTCCCAAGGTTTCATTTCATCAGGAAAAAAAAATGTTAGTTGACTTTATAAACAGATGCTGGAAAGCACTCATCCAACTCATGAAAAATTCAGCATAAAGATTTAGGCAAACATAGCAAAATCACTTATTAGGGAAAAATGCATAGTCTGATAGATGACCATGATTATAAAATAAATTATTCATTTCTCTTTACAAAGCAATCACCCAGTGAAGACTCACTCATTATTCACAGGTTGTCAGGGAATAGGGGATGAGGAGTGAAGATGTAGTGTGAGTGAGCAGCATTGACCTGTCAGGTGCAGAGAAATACGGGAATACCTACACGCTGAATGCAATGTAAGAAGTCCAGTTGAAGCCAGACTAACCAAAGTCTGGGGCCGTAAACTCCCAAAGGAATCACTCACTGTCAAATTAGCGTGTCAGTACTGTAGAGACAAACTAAATCAATGTGGAGTCATCAGAAGCTATTTCCTTCCAGAAACTAAAACATGGATGCATTAGAGATGTCAAGACAACTCTATTTTCAAAATCCCCAAGAACATGAGTAGGTTCCATGTGAAATATTTGTCAGAGACTAAACGTTGAATTGATCATCATTCCATCTATCAGGTTACATTATATTTCATACTCTGTATTAGAAAATCCTAAATGCTACATCTGAATCAGTTGATACAGCATACAACTTGCTAAGCAATGTATTGATTTCAGTGGGTGATTTGTGGCAAATCATGTGATAGTTATATCTAGTCCAGTTGTGCAAGAAAAAAATCTTTTCACTTGATCCAATTACACACCTCTTTCATTCATTCCAATCAGTCAATATTTATAGCCTGCGCTCTTCAGTTTTATTTGAAGTTGCTTTTGAGCATGAGTTGTCAGATGGTCTGTCCTCCTATCTCTACAAATAGTTAGGGAGGGTAATAAGATAGATGTCACTTCTCTTAACACAGGCATTTTGCCTTCTAGCTAGAAAATAATGTCTTCACCTCTCATCACTCATGATTCAATCCTAGTTTCTCTTAGGGTTTGTCTCTACCACAGCATTATTATGTGGCTTCTGGTTAAGACACCGCAATATGCCAGTTTATTCTGCAAGCAGAGCTCAACTCAACTCTTACCACACGTTTGAAATTGGGTCATAGTTGCAAGTAAGTATACGTCCCTCACACATAATCCACATTCCAAGAGGTTCCACTGCTGCAGAGATCTAATAACAGATCCAGTAGGAAAATTATAAAAAATAGATTTGGAAATATAGTCCCATCTCAATAAAAAATGAATTCCCTTTGGGGGGAAACTGTAGAATATGACTGCTCAAGTTATGCATAAGATTAAAATAGCAAACCGAAATAGCAAACCGCTACAGAATAATATTCAGTTGTAAGGAAATTGAAGTTCCAGTTCAATTCCCCCCCCCCCAATTAAACCCTAAAGACTCAAACTGACAAGTCCAAATCTGCCCTAGAATTATAGAATTAGAGGAGAAGAGCCGTGGGCATCAGAGTTGGCCTGACCTATCTCCCCAACTTGGTATTTGATCACAGGAAAAAGGCCAGGTGAAAACTGGGTGTATAGTAAGTTCACCAAAGAATCCATTTATTGCAAATGAATGCTTACAATTACAAAGGCAAAGGAAAATGTACTGAAGATGTTGGATTTGAACTTTTTCTGCTTATTTTTCACTTCCTGCTTTGCATTGCCTTTGGAATACTTTGATGTACAATTAATGGCTTTTTTCTTATTAATGATTATTTTGGATGTGGTTGGCCTTTAAAAAGTTTTAAACTCTTAAAATGACTTCCGCGAGGTGCACTTATTTACACTCTTTGCATTTAAAATTTCCAAGACTAGACGTGGATTAACATTTAGGAATTGAACAGTGACTGCAGGGAAGCCTATGGAGTAACACTGAAGT